ATTTTTGCTTAGTTTTTTGTCATTTCCCTAATTTCCCTTTAATGTTTTGCTACACAACCCAATTTTACAAATATAAAAATCTAAAATCATTCATACTTTCGCATATCGAGTCTATGAAAGTTCTTATAAAAAAGAACTAAAAAAACTATGAAAGTTCGAAGCCTAGATGATAAATATTTCGTGAGATAATGAGATACCATAATTTAATTAAGTCCTTTAGGTGGGTAGTAATTTAGAAGTTAGGAAATTTATGTAGATTTTCTTACATTAAAGGTTCTACTATTTTAATCTCTACTTTTAAGATAGGACTATAATTATTTTGAGTTAACAATTTAACCCGACGATGTCAAATATGTCTAAGATGCTTGATAAAATTAGAGATGAAAATGAGATAAATCGCTTTAAAAAAGTGTGTGTTCCAAGATGGTTAGATATTTGTAGACTAAACTTATGTTACGTATATATTTAAGTAACTTCCAAACATCTCTCGAATTAGATATGGTATAACTTTATATACTAATAGTATACCAAAGACAAAAGGTTCTTAGTTGGTTCACCTATATTATATATAACCAAATCGGTGGAAAATCATGTTAACTAATATGCTATATATGCGAATTACGATCTAGAGTCTATATATAAATTATGCAAAGCAAACACAAAATATCATCACTATTGATATACTAAAATTCCATAGATTAATATCACCGTTAGCTAAAGAAACTAAAATGAATTTAAAAATCAATTTAAAATTACATAATTTTACTTGGCCAGTTTGAATTAAATTATTGTTGTTCTAGATTGATCATGTAACTTTTTATAGCTTTAGATAACAGTATTAATCCATATAATTTTGGCATTGTTAACAAAAGTTTTTACTTTTAATCGAGTTCTGTTAATATTAATAATTTTAATAGATTAGACATGTGACTGAGACTAACTATCTTAATAATTTATAAAGAGTGAACTATTTGGGAACAATACCACTTATAAGGGACACACAGCTTTTTATGATGTTATCTAAAGATCATTTTGGTCTCACAAACACAAAGACACAAGGACACGAAGTGTAACCATTATTGTTAATCATTTTTTGGAAGTTAGTAGGTTCGGATTGATTCCATCTTGGTTTCGCATTAGGATGACAATCTGTTCTTTGTTTTGTTGGTAATATAGTTCCAAACTTTAAACATATTATCATCTTAGTTTAACCACCTCTCGTGAATAATATTTTAGTATCATCTTTCTTAAACTACTCTTCCAGTATGAATACCGGCAAGTCTGTTCTTTAAATCAAAGTTCATCAGATGGTACAATTGAGTAGTATCTAAAAATAACCACTTAACCGTTTGTAGAACATAATACTGCACACATAACAAAATTTACGGGAGTATACTTATTAGATTTATGTTAATATTGTGATAATTCTAATCTATTCATGGATATTTTTTATTTTATCGGCTCAATGTATATATATAGACATGTGATCTAATGAATAAACCCAAGTCGTTTTCTATTTCAAAAAAATCAAAGTTCATTTAACAAACCAAAATAGTAAAAAATGTTTTTTTTGTTGTTGTGTGTGCTGGAAATAGTAAAAAATGTTCAAAGTAAATCATTTAAATTTCTTTGATTTAACTAATAAATTGCTTAATTATGTTTACTTTATTATAAACTAACCACACGAATCACACACACACACATATATACTTTATGTAATTGTATAATACTGTTGTTAATTACTTAGTATAAGAAGATCAATCGTTTTTTTGGCTTAGTCATTTTAAAATCGAACTATAACTGAATCCAGCAAATTCCATAAATTTATATGCGCACTGCTTAAATAGTGTAACCAGATTTTTACTATGTTGTTATATTTAATTTGGCTCAGTTCAGTTTTCCATTTTGAACGAAAAGAATGCCTAACCCAAAACATTGATGTTTTCTAATCTAAAATCATACTCTTGTTTTTATTAATACTAATTCAACTATATGTACACATGTTCCAAATGATGTTCTTTAATTGTTCGGTTTGAAATTATGGTTTTAGGAATTGATTGAAAACACACACGAACACCATTAGTTTTAATTCGTACCTTATAGTCACATGTTAGATGATATCATCGATTTGTTCTAATCAACAACATCATTCCACACCTTCACGTTCCCATTTTATAATTTTTCTTGGTTCTATCCTCATAATGTATCACAATCTTCAACTTATAAAAAGTAATAAAATTGTTTAGATACATTTAGCTCGAACATTCAATATCATAGTTCTTTTTAAGATTGTAGATGCGATTGTTTAAAGCTGTGAGTGCTCACTCTCCATAACAAAAAAAAATTTCTATAGCAATTTTTTGTTTTACTAATTAATCATACTTTAGAAAAATTATAAAAACTAAACAGCCCTAAAACATATTTTCTTCTTTTCTTTTCTTTTTGATTGTAGAAAGGCAGCCATATGCTTTTGTTGACATTTGAAAAGACATTTATCCACGCGTTATAGCATGTGCACTCAAGCATAACATATGCTTGTCAATCGTTTTCTAAACAAAAATGACAATTATCTTGCATAACAATGTCAAGCCTTTGTACTGTTTTTAGTAAGCAAATACTGATATTTTTCGGGAGTATCCCTAATCATGTAACACTTAGGTAAAGAGATAAAACTGTCCAAATTGTTTGTGTACTATTTTCTAAATTAACTTTCAAAATATTTTAGTCATTATGAAAATACTCTATTCTTTTTTTCAACTTCCCACGCTTAATGTGAAGAAAAATGATCATTACGTCTTATAAACACGAGCGAGTGAGGGAAACAAGTAAGCGTGGGAAGTTGAAAGCCGAGCCTCACAGAATCACATAGCCGTCTAAATATATATTCTTTGAATAATTGCATTCAAATCCTCTTATTTTAGTGCATTTGCTAAATGAAATGATTTTTTTTCTTCCATAGAGGTCGCGTGAATTCATATTTTAATTTGATATTTTGTTTTTGATAAACTTCTTACCTAATGTGATTTCCAATTTAGAATAGATATATCTTTTTAATTTGCCTTAGTTGAAGAAAGTAAGTTTTTAATTTTTAGAATACACAGTAAAAAATATTAACACTATATAAGCAATATAAAAATCATCTATCATCTTAAAACTAAGAGTATTTGCATTGGTTAACCATAAACTATAGTGAAATTAGGTAACTAACCAAAAGGTTTGCAAAACAATCTATGGTTTTTCAAAAGAATCCCAAACCTTTTAGTTATTTTCCTAATTTCTATATAATTTGTGGTTATGTTGCAAATTTGCCCAACTAAATCAA